AATAGCCGAAAATGACGTACTTCCCTTGCGGGCTACCTTCAAAATCAAAGGTAGCCCGCAAGGGAAGTATGTCATTTTCGGAGATTTCCGATGCTTACAAATCCAGCCTATACACATTATATTAGCTGTAAAGGGCTTGCTGCTTGCAAACGATGAGCTTAGGGTGTTGCTCACTGTTGGTGGCGACATCGGAGGTGGCTTTCAGGGTCCAGGGCACCTTTCTAAATAAGGAAATGTGCGCTATTTCAGATGTAAAATAGCAATAAAATAGCAGAAAAATCAGAAAATCAGAAAAAATTGGGGGGTGGTGCTTACTGTTGGTAATGATGTTGGAGGTTGTTTTCAGGGTCCAGGGCACATTTCCAAATATGGTAATATAGCCAAAAATAGCCAGAAAATAGCCAGAAAATCAGAAAAACATGGAGGATAGTGGTGATACCCTTGGGTTACGAGTCCTCTGAGTTTACGAAGAGACTCGTTTATTACCCTTGATATCAAGGAATTTTTCAGCGTTCTAACGCTGAACTTTGCCTTTTTCCCACGAAAATTGATGGTTTCCCATGTTCAGGGTTTCAGGGTCTCTAGCCTTTTGTAGTCCTCTATGTTCAGGGTTTCAGGCACTCTAGCTATTTATAGGCTTCTTTCATCATTTTTGTAGTTGATAGTATCTGGCAATGGCGTGAAGTCTCACTCAATATTGTATTTTTGTGTAGATGGTATCTAGTAAATTGCAGCTTTGCTTGTGAATACATCAGTAGTGTTTTGAGAACTGATTATGTAATACATTATACTACAGTGCATTTAACTAAATTGCCTGCAAATTTAAAAGCTTTTTGCATTTTATTTGATGTAATTTGGAGTAGATATGGCAGAGTTGTAGGATTTTCTTTCAAAATCACTGGTAGAACCTGGGTGATGTGACACCAATTATGCAATATATACTGGTGATGGCATGGATTCTTGCTCAAAATGGTTGCCCATCAAACTGTTTGTGCATATTGAAGTTGAACCCAGTGATGTCACATTTTTTGAAACAAATACAAACAGAACTACCACGCACATGGTAAAATTGTTTGTACATATTGAAGTTGAACTCACGTGATCTGGGCATTTATTTTTTTCTTCTGCTTTATTGCTACCGACCGCTGACTGTATCTAATAGAAAACAACATTTGAAATTACTCAGATTGGCTGCCTGAGGTTCATTTAATACTAATGTTGCATATCATAGACATATTTTGAGCTTCAACGAGGACATGTACATCCTCACTCTTAGTTAATAATACTGCAGTCTGGTTCTTGGATATATTGTATCAAGTTAGAATGTTAAGCCTGTCTCATAATGTAGAACAGCTCACTTTAAAGGTAGTTGGCTGGTAAGTATGTTGAGTAATTTTGAGGAGTTGTTGACAATCAA